TCATTTCCGCGGCTGCGCACCAAATCTATCTTGGACCGCTTGGTATAGACGCCACGAAGCCCTACACTCAGAACAGCCTAGCACCGCACCGGTATGCTCCGACCGAGTCGACCGGACGTCGATCTAGTCACAGACGCCAGTGACCTTCGCCACCCTCCGTCTTACTTGCTAAAACTAGATCATCCCTGTTGCTGTTGCCCGCTGCGGCTGTTGGGGTCGTACTATAGGGACATGGTGCGCGCACCACCACCAGTTGCACCACCAGTTGATGATCCAATATAGGGAGATGAGTATGGAGGGAGTCAGGAACATCTTGGCCGACTAGTTTGAACCTCCCGGGAGAGTAACCCGAACGGTTACTACGGTTGACGGAGTCCATCTCCGAGACTGGTGCGACTCCGATAGGATCTTCCTAGCGCCGGATTGAATGAGAAAAGGGCTGAGGGATGAAAGCAAACCAGTGCAGTGCAAGTCTTCATAGCGAAGGGAGAAGACTTGGCCAGAAGCTTTTGTTGAATCATAAGTTTCCCTCAAAATTACTTAGTATGGGTTTTATGACCCCAATATGCACAACTTATGAACTACTGCGAGTGTGTGTGTACTTCGCCTCGAACCGGGCCGGTCCTCAAACCTTCCCTTTTTTTTCACTATCCCCTTAGCAAACCGGCCATTGACCACTTACGGAATCTTGAGCACGGGACAATAACCCCAATTACCGGTTCGGGCTGCCCGGAGAAAATATTGGGTTGAATATCAATGCGACCAGAATCGCTACAGCCCCGTTGGTAAGGAGAATCACAGCGAATCAATTGGTTTCCTCACATAAAACTCCTCAACTTGATCAAAATTACCCAAAAAGGTAATAATCCTGAGATGCAATTCCGCGTTTCTTGTACTGCCCATAATGCACGCAGTACGGTCAAGCCAAGCATCCTATTTCACGTGACCAACGAGCCTGATTAACGGCGAGTCTTGCATATGTGAATTGGAAGTGATGGTCCTTTCTAATGTGCCTGGGTTACGTTGCGATGAACTGCTCCCTCGAACCGACAGTCGTGAAAAAGCAGTTTAAGTTTTGCATCACAAGGACGGAGAGAGAGGGTTATGCATGTGCATGAAGCTTGATATGGTCGACCAGACTGTACAAAGTCGTCGTAGCGGCAGTTCCCCCGACCTTTACCCGCACGAGTCAGGAGTGAGCGCAGAAACCCAGGGGCCACTCCCCCCCCGTCCAAATCCACCATCAGGGCAGAGACAACTCCAGAAAGTGGGTTTGTGCTCGTCCAAATCCCGAGGGATCGAACCGGTAAGTTAACCGTTTGATAAGTTCCCGAGAGGCAGTTCCCTGTCGCTTGGAGTCGGACAGGTCACGTCGACAATAATTGCTGATCAGTGTTTACCTCGTCCTCGTCCTCATCCTCGTCCTACTCCCGTGCAGGAATTTTACTTGTGAAGAAAATCGAGAAGTTGTTAACATTGATGTGATGATTCCATTGCTGAGACACGAGCACTCTATTGGGCTCATCTAGAAAGGAAGCCTTTCAATGGGTCATTTCCGAGCTTGTGCTGGACAATTGGACTAGCTATAGAAAGGTGGGGGTGAGAGAAGAAAGGGACAATCGGACCTCGGGGGCTCGGACAACAGTTGCAATGTTTCAATAGTCGATTGTAGTTGCCAGATATTCTCTCCGGCGGCAGTTACAATGATTCATGGTTTTCTCTAGAGGGTAAGTCGACTCTCCATTGAACATTTCCGCCTGGATGCTCAGGCATTCGACAGGTTTAACCTTGAAATGGGAGGGTTTTCTCCAGGGGAAAACTCTTCTACTGGGAATCATTCCCGATCTTCCAAGTTTTCTCTGACCAAACTTTGTCCACGGTGCCTGGACGGACTTCTTTTTTGGCACAAGGTTCAATCCGGCAACATCTCCGTTACTATCAATTCTGCCTCCCACCTTTTACCTTTCCCTCCGTCATTATTGTTCTAACGCCGAAGTGACGGTGCAGATCTATCTGATCGTCAAACTTGAGACAATCCGCTTCCGGAGAGGGGGGCTCCTCCCCTCCCCCAAACCGTTAAAGGAGCTGCCCATCGTGAGGTGAGGCGTATTCTTAACCGCAAGCTTGAATCGCCCCTATGCTGAGAATCGTTAGTCACTCCGACCACTTGGAATTCTAGGTATGAACAAATCACTGCACAACTAAACTGAGTTCTTTTCGTTTTCGTATGAATGATAATAACATAAAACCAAAAAGAAAACCGGAATTCAAATCAATTAGAGCCGCCACAATTCCACCAACAGCCCGGGCAGTCTTCTGGGAGACCCTCTTTTTTGCGACGGTTTTCCGGGTGCGCGCCAGAGTCCACTTAGTGTCGAGACCCCCACGAATAACAGCTCAACGATCCTCGATAGCTACAAGGAGTGATCAGAGACAAGTGCTCTGTGCCTCTGCCTGGGGAATCCTTGGCTCTGTTTCGTTGGATTCCTTCTCGTCTTCTTCTAGATTACCATTTGGGGGGAGGGGACTTGATGCCAATCCTTGTTGCTTCTGGGCTCTTGGTCTCCGTTTTAACCGGCCGTAACGGACAAGGGCCATGCCATCTGCATGGGTCCGCTCAATGCTGGGAAACTGGCCCTGCTCCACTTCACGGAAAATCCGACCGCATCCCGGCCCTGCTGCTAAACAGACGATAAGCTGGTGGAACCGCGGTGGTTCCCTCCCCTAAACGTTAGTTAGCCCTTGGAGACTTCGTCCGAGTTTGAACAGCCCGGCCGAAACTGTGTCGACATGGTAAGAACGGTCTTTTCGTCCCGGGATTTGCCCATTTTGATCCTTGCTGGCTGGCTGGCTGGCTGGATCACTGGTTGGCTCAGTGAGTTTGCTCTCCTTTTCCCCCCGATTACTCTATTTTCGCTGCTCATCTCGGTCTTCTGCTGTGTCCTTACCAAAGGTCAAGACAACGAGTGATACTCTATGCAAATCAATGCTACTTTGATTAGCCGCTCGCGAAGATTTTCCTCGTGTTGGCTCCGTGTTGCTCCGGTTCGCAATTTATTCTCTTTCGAGTTAATTCGTCGCGAGAGGAAGATCGCAGGCCCGTAGGAAATCAGTTCCTTATTCATGAGGCGACAGCCACTGAGAGTATACCTCGGTTTGAGCCAGTGTGCTTTTTGAGAGGCGGCTCACAACAACTAATAACAAGACAAAACATGGTCATCGCTTGGACGGCATCCACTGGCAGATCTTTCCCAGTAGTCAAGTCAGTTTGCAGAATTCTACCACTAAACTACTAGGTCATGAAAAGGGACGCATTGTCCAGACCAAGCCAAACTAAGGTTATCGCCAACTGCCGTCCCGAAAAAAAAAATAAATAAGAGGAGAACAAGAAGCCAAAAAGGAAAGATTATTTCTTGCTTGGGTCTCGGGGTCTCGAGCGCCGCAATCATGACTAACGGGAATCGAAAGGTTGCAGAGAGCTGGATCTCTTCCGAGAGGATCCTCTTGCGGGGCGCCGGTAGGGAAACCTAATTATCACCAGAGCCAGCCCGACAGGGTAAAAACAAGAGAGCGCGCTGGCAACAAGCCCTAAGCCAATGCACAGAACAAGAAGGGACCCCGGGGAGAGAGGGATCGTAGTAACTCTGTAAGAGCCTAAGAGGGGCGCGCTGACGATATCTGATACCCAGTTGGATAAAAGTCTAAATCCTAATTCTCCCCATCCATGATGGTTCCGTGGCATGATACGATCGGAGGGGGGGGGGCGATGATGAAGGGTCGATGCTCGTGCCGGGGGGGGCGATGATGAAGGGTCGATGCTCGTGCCTGTTCTCCTGGTCCCTCTCAGGCTCTGCTCTCTGTCTGACTCTGTATCTCCTCCATCTCCGGTCCAGGCTTTCCCCCTTGCCCCCCTCCCCCCTCCCCCCTCTCCCCGTTGGCTATATCGATTGTCCCATCAGCGTATGTGTATCCGCGGAACGCCAATGATTTAGGCGTCATGTGGAGTGGGAGCGAAGTTCACCCGAAGACAGAAATTCACTAAGTGCCGAAAAGTCAAACAAAAGACCATTGAGGTGAGACAGTTCTAAATAGCCAGAGAGAGCGAGAGACAGTGTGTGGTGTATGTAGGAAGGAACCCGAAGCATGATGGATACCAAACTGAGTTGACCGGTACGGGTTACCCCGTGCCTTTCGGTACTCACTGTCATAATAGTATATGCCCTACTTCCCTTCTCCTCCCCTGTCGAAGCCGTAGTTGCCGGTGTGAAATTCAATCTGGATCAGTCACAAATTGCCTCCAGTGTACAGAGTACAGTACTTACTGTATGTATGTGCATGGTAGTTCTTCTCAGTGCAATTGCCAGATGGGTTTAGGAAGGTGAGGAGACGAGGATCCAAGACTTCCAATACTATTGACTACCAGGAAGAAGGAGCTTCGGTCATAACCATTATTATTCCTACCGTACCCTCTTCTTTTTCCTCTCTCCCTTTCCCCTTTGCTCACACCTCATCTGGGTCCCCTGGTGGTGGTTTGTGTGTGTGCATGGCATCTTCATTATCATATGCCTTGTGAACATCAAACTTGAAGGCTGCTGTCACTGCTGTCACTGCTGCTGGTGCTAGTGCTGCTGGTGCTAGTTCATTTCCTCTTATTTCCTTTCCTTCTCCCTTCCATTGCATCATCGTTCACAGTGCATAATTGTGCATCACTACCTACCTCCCCACGATCTCTGCTCCTTTTTTTTTTTTTTTTTTTTTTGGGAAGACCGATCTAACAAAGGGGATCTTGTTTCATCACTGGGTCTATTTCAAGAGGCACTGCCGCAATATAGAGTAGCAGCACCTCAGCCCCTCTACTTCGGGCCCGATCTGATTCGTTAGTGGCAGTAACCTCCCGGCCAACTTGGAGCCAAGTTGACACTTGCCTGCCTTTTGACGTCTTGCACGGGTCGACGGTCCGCGTTGGAGCAGCCTGGTAATTCGAGAAGAGCACAACTAAGCCTTCTTTTCCCTCTCACGATTGCTGGATCTTGTGGAGTGGTGCCCTGCCTGCCCTGCCTACTACCTACTTACCTAGTAGGTGGTTGTTAATCAATAAGAAGGATTGTCCCACTGAGGCACGGAGACCAACTGGTCTTTGACTGCCAGCAGACGGCCCTGCCTTCCTTCTTCGGTCCGCCGTGGGTGTTGAGTTGATGTGTGTGTCTGGGTGTGTTTCGCCGTCTATCTGCAACCGCACAACACTGTTTCGCCCCCAACCTCTTTCCTCCTGTCAACATCTCCCAACGATCTACTTGACTTGGCTATTCTTGGGCTGAAAAACAACCTCACTCAAAAAAAAAAAGCTCCATCTCGGTCCCCTGCTCACTTTCACCTATAATCCGACGCATAAGATCTGCCATAACAAGTGGTACTTTCACCATCATCAATCTCTCAACGACAACAATCTAGATCTCCCCGCTGCGTTCTTGGTATGGAGAGTTCTCACAAACTGACAGTGCTTCATGGTCATCTACAACATGACTATTGGTCTTTAGCTGCGAATTTCTCAGATTCCATCATCCCGCAGTGAATGGAATTATCCAAGTGAGCGCACGTGGTGCGGAATTGGCTCTCTTGTTGCGAAACTCCTGCTGTTCCATCCGATAGCGTGGCATCCTGCTACCGGACAAACGAACGAGCTCCTTACAATCTCACTGCCAATGTTCCATACCTGAGTCGCATTCAACGTGCTCGCAGTTTCCATCCTACGCCCCATAAGCATCCGACTACTATTCGGTTACCCCACTTGTTCTGTCAGTTGCGGACGTCAACAGTCACGGTACCAGTGTGAGTCAATGAAGCTCCGCTTCAGCAATCTTGAAGATGGAGATGGCTAAATGGTCTCCAGTGCTTGGCAGATTGCCTTGATCGCCCTTCTGGGCAAGTTCGACCACACCGATCAACAGTTTTCCCTTTCTGGACAGATCAAATCCTGTCTAGCAATTAGTGTCTATAAGCTGAGAGCCATCGCTTTGGAGAGTTCTTCTGCCTCGTGGCATTCGCTTTCTCCATAGCCAGGTCTCTCTGCGTCCAGAACCAGAGAGTCAACATCATGTCGGATCACTCGACTGGTCCTTTTGGGAGTAGGTCACCGATGAATATTGGATTCGTGCATTCAGCTAATGTGCCAGGCTCTGGAGCCCATCCATACCAGCTCCCACCTCCACGTACGTCCGCACCCTTACAGCTCGGGACGGACCCCTTCCTGCGCCAGCGCAATCAAACAGAGAACCGCGAACCTGGCGAGATAGCCTCGGGGCGGCCAAGTCTTTCGGGGCCACAGCTGGGGCCGAAGGAGCAACTGCCGCCTGTGAGTCAGTTACTGACGCCCAGTGCTCATTCGAGCCGGCCATCGTCTCCGTATCACGCCCACAGATTCGGGGTTTATACCCCTCCCACTGGTAGTACAGGCTCACCAATCCCTCGCCATCATAATGAACATCTACCGCGACCTAGCATTCACAAGAGCCCTCGGGCTTATCCTGAGGCGGTCGCATCGCAGAGTCGAAGCCTGCCGCCGTTGTCTCACATCTCGACTAACACTGGATTCGGACGCGAAGGGTCTATACACACAGCGTCTACTAGTTCGTCCGGACAACCCACTCACGCAACTCCTTTCTCATATTCTGGCTTCAAACCCCAGGATAAGGAATATGGCGGGGATTATTCCCCATCAGAAACCACATCCGACATGGCCTCGGCTAATCGATCCTCAGGAAGCAATGTACGGCCACACGTGGTGGACGAGAAATACATCGACGGAGAAGGATTGTGTTATATCTATGCGGATGGGTCGCACTGCCCAAAGCTTATTGACGGCGTTCCAGTGAATGCAAACTGGGGAATCACAAAAGCCGGCAAACCGAGGAAGAGGCTGGCACAGGCTTGTCTGACTTGCAGGGAGAAGAAGATCAAATGCCAGCCAAATCTCCCAAAATGCGACCAATGCCAGAAGTCTGGGAGAGTCTGCAGATTCGAGAGCGCGTAAGTCGGTGTTGACATCGCTTCTGAGTACCGCCCAAATCTGCAGCTGCTGACCGGACATCTTGCTAGACCCCGTGGCCATCGAGCAGCACTCAAAACGGCACACCTCTTGGGCAAATACGATTCACAAGAGGGCTACTCTGGGGGCATTTACACCCATGGCGCCTCACCTCAGCCCTCATACTCGACGATGCGGGCATCCGAGAGCTCCGTATCCCTCCCTGGCACGAATTCGCTATCTCCCAAGTCCGAAGCATCCATAATCACCCCCTCGGCCGTTGACACAACCCAAGACGTGATGGACTACGAGCCACAGTTTCAACCGAAAGCGTACAGCTTCGGCCGAGCATCCTTGGGGGCGGAAGATATATCCAAGGACACAGTCAGCCTGTCTTCGTTTGTGTCTCCGGACTATGCGGATGTGTTGAGAGAGATGAAGGATATGGACCCTCAAGATCCACTTGCGAGCGACTGGAATACAGATCCTTACGAGGCCGATCCGGAACTTACGGTGCACTACATCGAAAGCTATTTCACCTACGTGAACGACCGACTGTACTACATCTTTCCACGAAAACGATTTCTGCTGTGGCTAAGGGCGAGCCATACCAAATCGTTGGAAGACAACATGCTTCTCTACGCGATGATGGCATTAGGATCGGTCTTCTCCGATCGTCCTGACAGGATGATGGCGATGAGGAAGTACGCACGCACAGCTCGATACGCTGTGGAGCATGGCAGACACAGTCTGTCTTTGCAGCTTGCCCAGAGCCATCTCATCCTGAGCATGTGGTACTACGCCATCGGAGCCCTGGTGAAATCGTGGGACGCTGCTGGGGCGGCCGTCCGTACAGTATGTGGGCTTCATTATAATGTCGAAGCAGGGGGAGTCATTGTGGATCAGAACCAGGCCTGTGAGTATGGACTGCATCCACAGGCTTTGATCGAGTGTCGCAGGCGGACGTTCTGGGTTGCCTTCATCAAGGACGTGAGTATCCAAGCCAGCCCGTTGCATCTGTCTATTTCGCGGCTAATTGTGTTGGTGTGATTCAGCGTACCACCTGCGTTTATGCCCCGTCACCCGTCACCATCTCCTCCCAGTCCGCCTACCTTCGACTTCCTTGCCGCGAAGAAGTGTTCGAAGCACAAGAATATACCACCGTACCTTACTTTCAGAGTTTCTTGAACCAGAA